TACACAATAAACTATTCCTACTATTCTGGCCTCAACCGACTTCTCCTCTCTACTAAGTAACCATGGTCGGAAGATCGCAGTTGCTGGGTTTAACTCACTTAACCCCCCGCGATAGATGTATTGGAATTCCACAAGTCATGCTTTCGGCCATGTTTACTTTTACTTTGAAATAATCTTAAAAATGAGACCAGAATTTTGGCAGTGGAGCTATTTCAACGGTAATATATCTAACCCATCATAAATATGGTACTAACGGCAATATGCGATTTACCCTCCTAACGTAAGTTGCGAACTTATAAAAAATGGCACGGATTGTCGCGGTTCACAGGCGTGAGAGCGAAGAAATATCATTTAACTGGTCATTTATCTGCTTTAACCCCAAACACCGTGTCGACATCCAAGGTGCCCCTGTTTACATCCTGGTAGCATGTTTGATCCATAGATAGCATTGCCGATAGAGACAAGGGAGACTAGAATGGCAATTTCTGGCTCATCAACCATCATCAGCCACTCATACCCAACCCAAAGTTGTGCTCCACCCGCGACCTTTTGATCAAATGTCTAACGCTCTAATCACTGAGCCCCGGGCATAGATTACCAGCCGCTATGCGGCTCTAAGAGGGGCTTGAAAACGAGCTTTAAGGCAGAAAAAGGATGTGGAAGTTCCGCTAGCAATTATTGTACAAATTGATTTTCAATTGCACTTTCTGGCAAACCGTCGAATATACCCTTGATGAGGCCTGAGAGTGTATACTTGGATCGGCCTTTGCCAAACGTCAAGGGGATTAAACTCACTGGAATTTTCAATAATGAAATCGCCGATGTATTTGGCTTCTTCCGGGGTGAGTTTGTTGTCCACAGCACCGAGGATTTTGTTGACAATGGATTGTATGAAGCCGGAGGAGGTTTTGAGCAGAACACCCACAATTGCGACGGCAACGAATGCGAGCTGTCAAAATAAATGGTTTTATTTGGTTTAAACACTGTGAGAGCATTTAGACGTCCTCAACAAGAATGCGCATACAGTTGCTGATGAAACCTAAATTTGATAGAAGAAATTCTTCGGGAAACGAATTTCTCGTTCGCTCAAAAATACTATAAACAGATAAAAGGAGCACCGATGGGGTCAGCAATTTCAGGCTTCTTGGCCGAAATAACGATGCAAAAATTAGAAACCATGACCCTACCACTAGTTAACCCCAAGTTGTGGGTACGCTATGTCGAGGACACGTTTGTCATTGTTAAAAAGGACCAACTGGAAACACTACACAACATTATCAACTCAATAATACCTGGAATCACATTTACACTCGAAACAGAAATTAACAGTAAATTCCCCTTTGCCAATAGTAGCGAATATTCGAGTTCCAGGAAGCAGTTCAGAAGACGA